GCAACAACATGAAGACAGGGGCAGCATATAAGTCAATACCAGAAGCATTTATTGACTGATCTCAAAAGTGTTGGCTTACAAAATCAAAATAAGTTATCACAGTAAAAATAATCAAGGGTGTTCTTTCACATTCCTCAACACTGCATAAACAATATGCATTTCCATAAACAAATGAAATAAGAATGAAAAACAGAATTTGAAAGTAATTTCTAGAAAAGGTAAACACAGCTATCTGTATGGCTTTGTAAAAATGAAACAACCATATTCTGGCCAATTGTATAGATTTGTAAATATGAACAACCATATTCTGGCCAATTGTATAGATTTTGTAAAAATGAACATGAACAGATTTTTATTTGTATTACTTTTTTTAAAATGAAAAAAAACTATTTTAAACAACATCAACTGTGAACTGATTTGGGCGTGTGTGTGTTAAAGAGACAGACAGGGAGGGACAAAGAGAGAGAGAGGCTACATTACTTGTACTGAAACTGTTCTCTTCTCTGTTTCAATACAGCAAAGCGTTCAATGACTTTCTCATTGAAATCAGGCATGCTGAGGACTAGTTCCCTCTCCATGGAAAGCATGGCCAGTGCATTCAGACGTTCCTGGCCCATTGAATTTCGCAGGAATGTCTTAACTCGTGTCAAAGTTGAGAAACATCTCTCAGCTTCAGCTGTTGTCATGGGAGTAGTTATGAGGATGTTCAACAGAGTCACAGTCTCAGAGAACGTCTCCTGGAGGTTGTAGCTCATGAGAACCTGGTACAGTGCCAGTGCACCACAGCCTCCCTTGAATTCAGGATTCTCATAGATCAGAGATAGTTCTGTCTTGAGCTTTGCCTTGCTCAGCATGGGGTATGCATTCACAGTGGCATTCAGAGCCTCATCAGGAAATGAATGGCAGTACCTTTCAAACATGTCTGCTTGCAGTAAGGTAGCACTCACAAGGTGGCCAGAGAAAGAGAACCTTTCTTTGGTGTGATCCAGGATGGTGTTGCAGACCTCTTCAGACAGCCTCTGCTTCTCCTCTTCTCTCAAAGCTGTTCTGGGTCTTTTGGCTCCTGTTGCTTCTTGCAGCTGCTGTTGAGAGGAGTCCCTGAAGGCAAACAGACCAATGTGTTTGTTGGCTTTGTACAGTATTGTTGTCTATGTGATGCACAGGTATATGCAATGTATCCATGTATAGTACAAATACTTAAGTTCCACTTAAAATGGGCAGGGATGCATAAAGTCTTTAGTGTTTAAGTTAGCCTTTGTGTCTCACATAGCCTGGATGTTCAGCACAGTATACAGTGGTGCTCATAAGCTTATGATCCCATGCTAAAGTTGACTAAAAAGAGGAATAAAAAAGAAAAGAAAATTGGTGTCCTTAAAGGTTGGATTTTCCAACTTTTTTAATTAAGTCATTAAGATCAATTTCCAAAAGATGATTTTTTTTATTTTTTTATTCCTCTTTTTAGTCAACTTTAGCATGGGATCATAAGCTTATGAGCACCACTGCACAGTACACATAGTATATAAAATAAGATAGATTACACCACTGGCCATATATAATGAGAATAACGTGATTTCAAACACAAATGCAGTCTCCTTTCATGCATACATTTTCAAATAAAGCTCTGCTTTGAGAAAGATCGAATGATATTGTTTAATCTTACCTTATGGCCTGCACACTGCTTGTGAAGCTGTCGAGGGCACGTTTGATAAAGACAGCATCGATGTCCTTCTTCTGTAGCTTCTGGTACAGAATGTCGACGTGGGGCATGATTTTGTGAAAAAGCCGCAGGAAAAAAATAAAATCTTCATCATGTAGCATCCTCACGTAACCAGATGCCTCTCTCACAGTAAGCTGGTCAAATGAACCCAATGAACCCGTCCGGATGGCTTCAAAACATTCTATGAGGTCGTCTCGATTCTCGTAGACAGTGTTCACGACTCTGCTGTTGAAGTTCCACCGTGTGGATGAAGGTCTGGGCAGTCTTCGTGCAACAGTCTGGTCAAGAATGCTGGTGCGTTTGGGTGACCGGGAAAAAAACGTTGTAATCCCGCTCAGATCGGAAAAGAAAATGTTCACTTTTTTGATGCGAGAAGTAGCTTGATGCATGATCAAATTCAGCTGATGCGCATAGCAATGCACGTAATGGGCATTCTTGAAATGCTCACGCACCTTCTGCTGCACACCTGCCTTCTCTCCCCTCATCACACTGGCTCCATCGTAAGCTTGCGCAATGAGTTTGACTTTCTCGTCATCGGCAAAAAGACCGTTCAGTCTCTCCAAAAGTACACTGGCGATTGAGGCTGAGGTTGATTCCGAGATGGGAAGGAACTCAAAAAAGCGCTCCTGCACTTTGTGCTTGCTATTTATGTACCTCAGCACAAGCACCAACTGTGTCTGCGACTCTGCGTAGAAACATCCGTGGTCTCGTCAGCTTGGATAGCTACGAAGTTCGCAGACTTCACCTCCTCCACAATATGTTCCCTCGTGACCGCTAGCATACACTCCAGTAGCTCGTTTTGAATGGTCTTTGATGTGCCCTTGAAAACTTTAGCATTTTTAAGATGGTCATCAAACACCTCATCTAATTGTGCCACAAAGTTGACAAGTCCAAGAAAAATACCAGGGTTGGTGGAGCCCTCAGTTTCATCTTTGCCTCGCAAAGCTAACTCAAACACTCCGCAAAACTTAACACACTGGATTAGCCGGCTGAGGATATGGCGGTTCTTGCTAACCTCATCGTTGTGGCGGCGGACAGCTAGCCTGTATCCCTCATCCAGTTGAGTGGCAATATTCACTCTTCCCAAAGATGACAATCTCAAACAGCTATCCATGTGGGTCTTTGACAGCTCATGTTTCTTTATCTTTTCTGAAAGATGGTGCATGTCGGTTACACCAGTCGCTGTCCAAGCGGTGCTGTCTGCTGTGCCGCCTTCAGGGTGGAAGAGTAAGCAGGGGTAGCAAAAAACTGCATTAGCTACATCGCAGCCTGCTAGCCAGGTTTTCCGTTCATACCAATTTTTGGAAAATCCTCGGGTGTAGGACTTCCCCCCTTTAGTAGACACCTGTTGAATTATTAAATTTGGTCTGGGAGGTCCTAATTGTTTCGTTGCCAATTTATCTTCATTTGTTCGCCGACAAAAAGGAACTTCTTTCAAAGACACAATCGAGTTGGACTGAAGCCTAGCCATTTTGATAGTAGTAGTGAATTGATTGAGGCTGCTACCTGGTCTTTTCTTAGTTACGTTCATTCGTGGTTACGTTATGTATGACGAAAGCGCGTAAGTGCATGCCCACAGACACCCATAGAGAATGTATTGAAAGCTTTGAAATGTGAAAAAAATAGATTTTACATGACAGGCTATGAGAGACTTCTGGGCGATTTTCAACCTGACTGAAATCGCCCAAAAAACGGGCGGGGCCATTTGAAGCACGACTTTAGCCTGATTTGACATTTAGTGGCTGGCAGATCAGACGTGAACACTGATAACTGCTGTTGCCGTGATATAATTTTTTATAAATGTATTAAAAAAAATTATATATATTTTTTTATTTTTTTTTTTATAATTGATTAGAAATATGGTAAATGAAGACATACTGACAGGCAAATATTGGACGGCTTTTGATTCATCCATCTTGTAATTATTATTGTCTGAGAGGAATTCTGGCATTTTTATAATGAAAGGAAAAACATATTTAAGTATATTGTTTTAAAAAGATACTGGATGTCTGTATTAGAATTTAACTAATACTGAAGTTAAAGCCAAGACACCATTATTTGACAATTAGGACAGTATTTTTAAAGACTACAATCACAGTCCAGAAGCTTCTGTTGATGTGCAGGATTCTCTACTTTGTGCACAGTCTCTGCTCTAGTCATAGAGAACAGGCTACTCAGGCAAATTGTGCTCGTTTAATAAAGTCAGATCTAAGATGAATCAATGTCTGCAACATCACATAATGATAGTGTTCTACATAATTTAATATAATAGCATAGTATATTGTTACTGGAAGACAAAAACACCATCCCATTTCTTATGAGATTTTAGAATTGTGAACGCTTGCAGCGGACCACTAGGCAAAAGATGTGCTTTGATTGAAGCTAAACACAGGTAGGCTATGCTACATGATTGAAGCTAAACACAGGTAGGCTAGGCTACATGATTGAAGCTAAACACAGGTAGGCTATGCTACATGATTGAAGCTAAACACAGCTAGACTATGCTACATAATTGAAGCTAAACACAGGTAGGCTATGCTACATGATTGAAGCTAAACACAGGTAGGCTATGCTACATGATTGGGCAAAACACAGGTAGGCTATGCTACATGATTGAAACTAAACACAGGTAGGCTATGCTACATGGTTGAAGCTAAACACAGGTAGGATATGCTACATGATTGAAGCTAAACACAGGTAGGCTATGCTACATGATTGAAGCTAAACACAGGTAGGCTATGCTACATGATTGAAGCTAAACACAGCTAGACTATGCTACATGATTGAAGCTAAACACAGGTAGGCTACGCTACATGATTGGGCAAAACACAGGTAGGCTATGCTACATGATTGAAGGTAAACACAGGTAGGCTATGCTACATGATTGAAGCTAAACACAGGTAGGCTATGCTACATGATTGAAGCTAAACACAGGTATGCTATGCTACATGATTGGGCACAACACAGGTAGGATATACTACATGATTGAAGGTAAACACAGGTAGGCTATGCTACATGATTGAAACTAAACACAGGTAGGCTATGCTACATGATTGGGCAAAACACAGGTAGGCTATGCTACATGATTGAAGCTAAACACAGGTAGGCTATGCTACATGATTGGGCAAAACACAGATAGGCTATGCTACATGATTGAAACTAAACACAGGTAGGCTATGCTACATGATTGAAGCTAAACACAGGTAGGCTATGCTACATGATTGAAGCTAAACACAGGTAGGCTATGCTACATGATTGTGCAAAACACAGTGCCCTAATTAATACTTGTGGAATTATGGATTCATCCTCTTCATTTCATCCTCATCACATGAAGGCCTCTGTGTGTTTATTTCAGAGCCCAGTGCCGAGACCCCTGTGTTTGTGTTGAAGGGACAGGATGTTCGTCTGGATGTCCCGACAAATATTACACTGGATAATATTGATGTGCTATTTTGGAAGTTTGACACATCAATCATTGTTGTAATGTACAACCCAAAAGTAGCCTTTGTAGGGTTCGAAGGTAGGGCTGAAATTAGTGAGGGAAACTTCTCTCTGCTACTGAAGAACCTTCAGGAAGGAGACAGTGGATGTTATACTGCAGTAGTGTCTGGTGTCAAAGAGACCAACGTTGCTACATACATGTTGGTAGTTCAAGGTTTGTTTTCCCTCATTATTTGTTGTTGTTCTTCTTGTTGTTGTTTTGGTAGCACTTTGTTTGACTAAACGTTTTCTACTGGTATACAACCCTATTTATCCATCTGTTAAAACAAGTTGTTTTCTTTCCTGTTTCTTACCCTGTTTGTCTATGTGTTTTCAGAGAGAGTTGAGTCTCCGGTCCTGACAGTGGAGTCTGTCTGCTCCACTAATGTCACCTGTAATGCGACTGTGTCCTGCAGAGGCCAGAACACCGCTGTCACCTCCATCTGTAACAACAGCACCTGCTCTCAGGTGGGAGGAGAGAGTAGAGGGGCTGAGACCTCCTCTGTCCCCCTGCTCTCTGTCTATGTGGCAGGGGGTTCCATCATCTGTAACCACAGCAACCAAGTCAGCTGGGCCAACGACACCAAAGATATAGTGGAACTCTGTCCAATGACATCTGGTAAGACACACAAATACACATCTCAAATATTGTATGTCAGTTATACACGGAGTGTACAAAACATTAAGAACACCTTCCTAATATTGAGTTGCACCACCACTTTTCCCCTCAGAACAGCCTCAATTTGTAAGAGCATGGACTCTACAAGGTGGCCCATGTTGACTCCAGTGCTTCCCACAGTTGTCTCAAGTTGGCTGGATGTCCTTTGGTTGGTGGACCAATCTTGATACACACGGGAAACTGTTGAGCATGAAAAACCCAGCAGCGTTGCAGTTCTTGACACAAACTGGTGCGCCTGGCACGTACTAACAAACCCTGTTCAAAAGGCACTTCAATCTTTTGTCTCACCCTCTGAATGGCACACATACACAATCCATGTCTCAATAGTCTCAAGGCTTAAAAATCCTTCTTTAACCCGTCTCCTCCCCTTCATCTAGACTGATTGAAGTGGATTTAACATGTGACATCAATAAGGGATCATAGCTTTCACCTGGATTCACCTGGTCAAACTATGTCATGGAAGATCAGGTGTTCTTAATGTTTTGTACATTCTGTGTATTAATGGAAGAACTGTAACCTTGTTCCCAGGCTAATTGCAAACAGGAGGAAGTGTCTGATCTGCCAGACTAGAGGAACTGTAACATATTGTCTGTTTGTTGTAAACCAGTGTCTCCCCCTGCTGGCATGTCTGTGTGCATGTCGAAGATCATCCTGCTGTCTGTGGGGCTGGCCATCATGATCTCTGCTGTCATCACTGTCCACATCAGGGACAGATTCCACAATGGATAGAATCGTGTGAACTGTATTATTTTCTACCATAGACAAAATTATTCCTGCTCTGTGTCACAGTAAGGTCATGAAAGTACTTTTTAAAATGTTTTAGTTGCTACATAATATAACTTAACATAACGTAAGGTAGCATAACATAAAATGGCTTGTCATAATATAGCGTAACATAGCACAGCATAGCATACCGTATCACATGTTTTTGGTCCATTTGTTTCTGTTTAATTCCCAGTATGATTAAATCAAATCAAAACTAATTTTTTTTGTCTCATGCTTCGAAAACAACAGGTGTAGACTAACAGTGAAATGCATACTGACGGGTCATCAATATACAAAACAAAAAATAGAAATCGTTACAAGCTTTAAATATCGAAACAGAATGACATTGCACATCTCACTGTTAATATCCTCACTAGAATTAGGTTTTGATGTACGGCCACTCTGATAATTTTCGCCATTCCTGTCCAAATCATCCTAAACTATCTCAAAATTGATTGTGTAACTCAAATAAGTTACTTATACATGATTTGGACATGATTTGGAAAATGCTAATATAGGTACCATTGACGTGCATTGATTGCCCTGGGGGCAGTTTGCCCCATACACACTGACTTTAAATTTGATTAAAAAACTGATTTAAAAAGTTCTCTCTAACCAAGTGTATTATTTATCTTCAGGCTCCCTTACTGGTATATACACAGTGTAGAAACATTAAGAACACCTGCTCCCTCCATGACATAGACTGACCAGGTGAATCCAGGTGAAAGCTATGATCCCTTAATGATGTCACTTGTTAAATAATAATAATATGCCATTTAGCAGACACTTTTATCCAAAGCGACTTACAGTCATGTGTGCATACATTTTTACGTATGGGTGGTCCCGGGGATCGAACCCACTACCCTGGCGTTACAAGCGCCATGCTCTACCAATTGAGCTACAGAGGACCACTTGTGTAGTCAGTGTAGATGAAGGGGAGGAGACAGTTTAAAGAAGGATTTTTTAAGCCTTGAGACAATTGAGACATGGATTGTGTATGTGCGCTATTCAGAGTGTGAACGGGCAAGAGATTGATTTGGTTACTTATTTACTTGTGATTCGTGTCACATATTTCCATTTTGGGATAGTTATTCACTGAATTGCTAGCACCAGTTGCTCAAACTTCTACAGTGGCTACAAACGTCTTGCGCTCGGTGGAATGTGAATGCGTTATCACGTGATGCTGCCTTTGAATCCCGTCCCAAATGGCATTAACCTGTAGAATAGTGAAAATTCACTTTGTCTGAAGATGACATTTTACATTTACATTTTAGTCATTTAGCAGACGCTCTTATCCAGAGCGACTTACAGGAGCAATTAGGGTTAAGTGCCTTGCTTAAGTGCCTTGCTTAAGGGCACATCGACAGATTTTTCACCTAGTTGGCTCGGGGATTAGAACCAGCGACCTTTCGGTTACTGGCACAACGCTCTTACCCACTAAGCTACCTGCCGCCCTGACAGAGAATTAGTGTAGAGGTCTATGACCCTAATATGATATACCATCTCATTCCATTATCATGTGACTGCTTTAGGCCCATAATCGTATCCAGCGTGTGTAGTTAAGGTAGCGAGCCTTGCTTCACTACTCTAAATACTATAAGATGCACGTGTCTAGGTTTACCGTTATGCAATTATTAAGAGGTTACTAATGGACAAGGAGCTAATATCTTGCAATCGATGTCCTAGCATTAAACAATTGATTTAACCTTAGCTCAGAGATGCACAGTTAGAGACCAAGCATATATGCTATGTGCATTGTGAATAACATTTACCATTACACATTTTACTAAATAATAATTCAAGGAATATTCCTAAAAAATATGAGGACTACGGTTCGTATCCATTTAAAAGTAATCAGATTTATTACAGTTACACAATAAGAATACAATTAGCAAATGGTACATACCAGAAATCTTCACATTAAGAAGAATACAAAATATCCTGAATCTTAACAGCATAGACATTTCACCACATTCAAAATTATTATGTTTCATTGGTTAACCAATGACTCCGTCATAAAAATGTAAACCCAGCTTTTATTCTTCCAAGAGCGCCAAATCCCAGTATCTCCCATTGTCTAATTAACATGACTTTGCATGGCCCAAAACATTAAAACAAAAGACATGAAACTTCACACACATTCTCTAATCTTATCACCACACTTCAACACTGTATGATAAGACACCCCTGTGTCGCTCCTCTTTGAACTATCCACCATTGGACGAACAGAATAATATAGTTTGTCTGTAACAATGAATCCATATCACTTATAGTACAATAAAACATAAACATTCATAGCTCTTTATGAACTCTTGAAACAATCCAAACATGACAAATTAATTCACACAATAACATTCATTTCGTTGATTCAAGTTTCATCAGTCTTCACACCTCTCCTGGTGGTGACAGTGACCCCAGGACTTCGGTGAGAACGTTTCGTCCTGAAGATTGCCACGGCAAAGGTGTGACTCCTGTGAGATGCAAATATACAGCCATCCATCCGGACAATGACATATTGAATTTCCATTCCCAAGTGTCAAAACAATTGCCCAGCACTGGGCGCAAACTCGTGATGCTCAGAGCTGTAGCATGCTGCTCAGACCACTGCGCTAAAGCAGTTCACAATGCTCTAGCAAGCCGTGAGAATACTTGATGGTATGAAGTAAGTTGGTTTGCAGAGCCTTCCCCAAATCATAGCCCCCTAGGTACAGTAATGCATTGCTTAGCCTACAAACACAGCTTCCAGCTGCCCCCTATTTATCCAAATACTCCTGCTGCATGATTCTTTTCCTCCTGTGACGAAATGGGTCATATTAAGATCTGACATCTGTACGACACTAAGGAGATTGAAACAATGTGTAGTTGTCTGGTAAGTCACGCAAGCGTGCTTACACACACACACACACACACACACACACACACAAAGTAACACTCAGGGTGTAGTGGTTTTGATGATTGCTGACTGTATTTCCAGACCAAGAGGACCACAACTACGCTGTCATAGTCATTGTCACAGTCGCTGTCGGCGCCGTTGGCTTCATCATAATTGTCCTGATTTGGTGAAAAATAAATAGACGTACGCTAACTGCTCCTGCTGCAGCATTACCCTTAGTACAGTAACTTACAGTAATATTAATGTTAAGCAAACTATGTGAAAACCAGGGGCACAACCCCCCACATTCTGAAAATTCATTTTTGCCCCCACCTAACCCTAACCTTAACCCTTACCTTAACTATTTTACATTTCAACTTCAATGGGATAGGGACGTCCCGAGGATTCTGGGTAGCATGTACCTACATGGGATAGGGACGTCCCAGGGATTCTGGGTAGCATGTACCTACATGGAATTGGGACGTCCCAGGGATTCTGGGTGGCATGTACCTACATGGGATAGGGACGTCCCAGGGATTCTGGGTAGCATGTACCTACATGGGATTGGGACGTCCCAGGGATTCTGGGTGGCATGTACCTACATGGGATTGGGACGTCCCAGGGATTCTGGGTGGCATGTACCTACATGGGATTGGGACGTGCCGACTCTGACATCCTGCCTAAAAGGCAGCATCTTTATTATCCTTATTATCTGGATGACTTTGTGAATGTTCCTATTCTTGACCCTGCCAACCAGCCATGGAGGCACGTCACTTGCCATGGAAGTCAAAAGAAATGGCCTTTGGCAATTGGGGCCTCCTTGGCGGTGGGAAGTCTGGACCGGATACAGACTTCAAACAGCTTCGCCGCCCTGGATCCAGAGTTTCCGCCACCTGATTTAGCCCACTGCAGTAAAAGGTTAAGAATATCTGTCGAGTTCAGCTGATAACGAAAGCCACTCAGATGAATGTAAAAAACCCAGCAAACTCTTTATTGATTGACCTTATCCGTCAATGAATATATCCTTATACGTACTTGGCTAGCGGTGTTTATATACATTATATCAGTGACCACTGCCCTTTTGCTTGCATTAGAGATACCAAATTGAGAAACTCTGACCCTTGTATAATTGTGAAGAGAAATATAAAAATATTCTCGCCCCAGGCTTTCCTTCATGATTTATATTTTTCATAGCTTTTTTTCTACTAGCTTCATACCAGACCCTGTTTTGGCACTTGACTTTTTTACATCCATTTTTACTTCTCTGGCAGATAAACATGCCCCTTTCAAGCGACTCAGAGTCAACAACCGAACTAATTCATGGTACTCTACTTTACTCTCAGACCTCTTCTTGATAAGAAATCAAGCCTGGGTCAAGGCTAGACAAATTGTCTCGTTAGCTGATTGGAAGCTATTTAGGCAATTGAGAAATGGGTGCATTGCCTCGGTTAAACAGGCCAAATCAAACTACGTCCTTAGCGCTATGGCAGACTCTTCTAGTGATCCCTCTAAATTCTGGAAAACCGTTAATTCCTCTTCTTCCCTGCATAAGCAAGTAGTTTTAGACTGAAAATGTTACTGAAAATGTTGAGATTTGTGATGATTTTAATCAGCATGTTATCTCAGCTGGTTTCCTATTTGAAAGAAATGGTGGTCGTACTGGTCTTGGCCAGTCAGTTGATTGTTCTTCCCACATACAGTCTCCAGTTGCCTTGATGGATGCATCGATCAGTCAACTTCATCTGACTTGGGAAATGGTAGTCAGGGTTTGAAGGCGCCTGGCCCGCCACAAGGAGTCGCTAGAGCGCAATGGGACAAGGAAATCCCAGCCGGCCAAATCCTCCCTAACCCGGACGACGCTGGGCCAATTGTGTGCCGCCTCATGGGTCTCCCGGTCACAGCCCCGGAACGAACCCGGGTTTGTAGTGACGCCTCAGCCACTGCGAAACCATCATCTTCACTTCCAACTTGTTTTTATTTGTATTTGTTATTATTGAATTTTAAAACATACAATCTACCAGCAGTGAAGCCACTCAACATATATATTACATTCAGTCATCTAGCAGACACTCGCATCCAGAGCAAACCACAGGAGCAACCAAGGTGAAGCGCCCCGCCCAGGGGGAAGTCTGGCATGGAGGCTGGCATGCTAGTTGGCTTTGGCGTCATAGGTGCCCTGGGCGGTTTTCACAGAAGAATACTGTACCAAGTTGCTAGCTGAATAAACTAAGTTAGTCTATTCCTAGAAACATTGCACCTCTGTAGTTTACAACAATTATAATTTCTAAAGTGGAAGTTGGGAGAGTTATATTTGAGTGTTTCAGTGAAACGTAAGTGAGGGAGGCCCCGCTCTCTCGCTTTCTCAGATGTTTAGTTCATTTCATTCCGAT